TAGCGCGTAGACAGGATAACCGCTGGTCATTAAGGGTAACTGACTGGATTCCCAGAGAAGGGTAGCGGGTTAGGGGTAGACAGAAGGTTAGGTGGGCAGATGAGATTAAGAAGTTTGCAGGTATAAATTGGCAGCAGTAAGCACAGGACCAGGTTAACTGGCGGAACACGGGAGAGGCCTTTGTCCTGCAGTGGACGTAGTCAGGCTGATGATGATGATGATGATGATGAGTCAACTTCAATCATATACTGGAGAAATTTCAGTTGCTTTTGTGGAATCCATTTTGCAAGGTGATCTTGAGAAGTTATCAAAACTAAATGATTTCATTAAATTGTGATATCAATCGGTTGTTATAAATATAATAAAAACACATTTTCAAGCAATAATGAGAAAATCCCAACATTGCGTGCCACTTTTTGTCCTTGAAAAACCCGAGACAGAGTCATGGAAAGACCTTGAATGTTTTTGAATTTTTGCTTTGGAAACCTGCTTAAACGCTGCCTTTGGCTGGCCGCCTGGCAAAACAGGAGGGGCATCTCGTGCTTTTGCACACTTTCCAAAGGTACACCAGCATCACCACTGCGCCTCCGCTGCGTAGAGTTCTGTTTGACTGCGGCAAAGCGGTGAGCCTAGACGGGCGGCAAAAAATTGCTACGGCAGCAATCGCACTTTCCATTTCATTATCTGCCCGCTTTTGCCACTTGGAGAGGAAGGTCTCCCCGCTTTGGTCGCCCCGCCTTCAGTGTGAATGCACCTGGAGAGATGCATACTTGTTTCTGTTTTTCATTGTGACTCTGTTCGGCCGTATAGAGCTGTTACTCTTGTTATTAGTACTTGGTAGCTTAAACTCATTGAAACAAGGCTTCTGGAAATATTCGAGGTTGTTGAATGTTCATATTGCTACGTGCCAGTGCATGGAGCTGAAGAAGACGAAGCAGATAGACTGGCACGAGCTAATCTGTGTGGCTGGCACTGCTCGCCTAACCCGCTGTAAATACATCGGTGATCGGTGACTACCCCTCTGAGTCAGTCTCCTTCCCGTAACATATTTGGTGGAGGTGCGGGTGTAGGTGCCTTCTGACCCTCACGCTCAACATCAGTCTGCCACTTGCTCCGACAGCGCTATTACTTCGATGATCGCTTCGAACTTAACGCCGCAGCAGACTGATGAGCTCCACCGGGTTCTGCTGTCCTACATCGACGTTTTTGACATCAGCGGCCGTCTGTTGGGGAAAGCTACCGGTATGAGCCACCGCATAAACACTGGTAATGAGCATAGCATAATGAGCATAAAAGACATAGGCGTCCATATCGGGCGTCGGCGGCCGAGCGTCACATCATCCAAAGTGAGGTCGACAAAATGCTCGCCAAGGACATCATTGAGCCATCCTGCTGTCCTTGGGCTTCTCCTGTAGTGCTAGTCCGCAAGAAAGACGGTGCATGGCGTTTCTGTGTGGATTATCGACACCTAAACAAAATTACCAAAAAAGACGTCTACCCTCTGCCACGAATAGATGATGCGCTTGATTGCCTTTATGGGTCCCACTATTTTTCCTCCATAGACCTTCGTTCCGGCTACTGGCAGATAGAGGTAGATGAAATGGACCGTGAAAAAACGACATTCATCACCCCCGATGGCCTATATGAGTTCAAGGTCATGCCCTTCGGCCTTTGTAACGCTCCAGCCACCTTCGAACGAATGATGGACTCCCTGCTCAGAGGATTCAAATGGTCCACCTGTTTGTGTTACTTGGATGACGTCGTCTTTTCACCAACATTTGAAACTCACATAGAGCGCCTCTCAACCATCCTGGGAATCTTCCGTCGCGCTGGCCTGCAGCTCAACTCGTCCAAATGTCACTTTGGACGCCATCAAATCACAGTGCTTGGCCATTTAGTAGACGCCAATGGTGTACAACCAGACCCGGCAAAAATCAGCGCCGTCAAAAACTTTCCTGTACCACGATCTGCAAAGGATGTACGCAGCTTTATCGGACTATGCTCCTACTTCCGACGCTTCGTGAAAAATTTCGCGCACATAGCGAGGCCGCTTACGCAGCTCCTCAAGAAAGAAGTCCCGTTTTCATGGGGCTCCTAAGAGGCTTCTGCGTTCTCGACTCTCGTCGCTCTTCTCACTACCCCTCCGATTCTGGCACACTTCAAGCCTGCTGCCCCTACGGAAATCCGTACAGATGCAAGTGGGCATGGCATTGGTGCAGTGCTGGCTCAGAAACAACATGGCCATGATTGCGTTATTGCATATGCCAGCCGCCTCCTATCCGCCCCTGAACGTAACTATTCGATAACAGAGCGTGAGTGCTTGGCTCTTGTATGGGCGGTGGCGAAATTTCGACCTTATCTATACGGACGCCCATTTTCGGTAATTACCGACCACCACGCACTCTGCTGGCTGAACTCTCTGAAAGATCCATCAGGCCGCCTTGGTCGCTGGGCTTTGCGCCTGCAAGAGTTTTCCTATTCGGTGGTCTACAAATCTGGCCACCTACACCGTGATGCCGATTGCCTCTCCCGGTACCCTGTCGACGATCCTGAGGACACTGACGAGCCCACGGACAACTCTATCTTGTCAGTGTCCGACTTCCTTAATATTGGGGAAGAACAGAAGCGTGATCCTGAGCTCCTCGACATCATCAGCCGTATAGAATCCTCCACAAATGATGCTTCCGTCCGTTACTTTGTCATTCAAAAGGGTGTGCTATACCGTCGCAATTTCCGACTAGACGGGCCCGACCTTCTCATTGTTGTGCCTAAGCATTTGCGCCGCTGTGTTCTCACCGAACCGACGCTCCCACGGCTGGACACTTTGGCGTATCCCGCACGTACGAGCGCGTCCGGCGCCGTTTTTTCTGGCCAGGCCTTGCTCGTTCGGTACGCCGATACGTCGCCACATGTGACCTATGCCAACGTCGTAAGACACCGTCGCTGCTACCCGCTGGCCATCTTCAACCAATTGACATACTGCGGAACCATTTTACCGTGTTGGGTTAGACCTGCTTGGTCCTTTTCCCACATCAACATTGGGAAGCAAATGGATAGCCGTTATGACAGACTACGCTACATGCTACGCTATTACGCGAGCTCTACCGACCAGCTGGGCAACCGACGTCGCTGACTTCTTGTTACGGGACGTTATATTGATTCACAGTGCTCCGAGACAGCTTCTCACAGACCGTGGCCGTACATGTCTATCCCAAGTCATCGCCGACATTCTGCGTTCTTGTTCCACGCAACACACACTGACAACCGCTTACCACCCTCAAACAAGCGGCCTCACGGAACGATTTAATTGCACTTTAACAAATATGCTCCCTATGTAAGTGTCGCCCGACCACCGAGACTGAGACCTTGCCTTACCCTACACAACTTTCGCGTATAATTCATCCCGTCACGACACAGCGGGCTTTTCGCCGTTCTACTTATTGTACGGAAGAGACCCGACATTACCACTAGACACAGTCATCTCACCTCGTCCACCAGCGAGTATGCCCGCGACGCGATTGTACGAGCCGATCATGCCCGTCAGCTCGCTCGCGCTCGGCTGATGGCGTCACAAACCAACCAATGCCGTCGGTACGATGTGGAACATAGAGACGTACATTTTGCTCCCGGTACCCTCGTTTTACTCTGGTCCCCTCATCGTCGGCTGGGCCTATCCGAAAAACTTCTGTCTCATTACACGGGACCCTACAGTATATTGCGTCAAGTAACACCTGTCACCTACGAGATCAGCCCCATCTGTCCATCATCATCTACTATGCGGCCCAGTGATATCGTACACGCCTCGCGGATCAAGCCCTACAATAATGCGTCAGATAACGACCTTTAAAGCACCGAGACGGTGCCTCCGCCGTCGGGGATCATGCTACGTGCCAGTGCATGGAGCTGAAGAAGACGAAGCAGATAGACTGGCACGAGCTAATCTATGTGGCTGGCACTGCTCGCCTAACCGGCTGTAAATACATCGGTGATCGGTGACTACCCCTCTGAGTCAGTCTCCTTCCCGTAACAATATGAAAATCACAGTATTTTAATTGGGTTCAATTCAATATGAACTCATATATGTATATATGTCTACATGCACATACACGCATGCATGCCTTTTTTTTTTGTAAAGGTGGTTTCACTGCATTGTTCTGATGCCTAACCATGAATACACCTATCTAGGGGAAGTCTGCACTGTTGCGAAGTCCTATTTCAAGCTAAAGGAACACATTAGCCTCACGTGAATTGTTTAGTTTAGAAGCTCGTTCAGCTTCTGTTGAAATGGCAGCGGTTGCCGAAGTGGACGCAGAACAGCATGTGCATATGTCTCCTCTCTCTCTTTGTTCTCTCTCCGCCCCTTTCTCCTCTTTCATGATACAAGTTTCAAGCGGTCAATAAACGCTGCCTTCTGCCTGGTGACACCGACTAGTTCATGTCTCCGGCAGCGTCTCTGCTGCCAATGTAACAGCTTGTATGTTCTGAGTATAGTAAATTTTAAAACCAGACGTATTTTACAGGTTATCAGTTGTATTTTACCAAAGGGCAAGTCCTGCTACTAAAGATGCTTCGATTTGCTTTCTTTAAACCAAAAGGAGTGGCACTTGCACTTGCCTCATTTTAATTTTCAAAAATACTGTGCAGGTTAGTCGAGTCATGACAAACATGCTCTTTTTTTATAGCATGTGATATATACTATTAGAATTTAGTTCAAATTTATTTGATGAAATCTGTATTCTCCGCAAAGCAAAAAAAAAATAAATTACAATTCTCGCAAGCCTGATTGGAACATTCAGTTGTTTTGCTGAGATTGCATGCATAATGAGAAAAGTACTAGTTTGATTACACAGTAAAGTTTACGGGAGCACCAGTTATAATGCTGCTTAACCATGCCTGGTCGTACCCATTTTTGCTATGGGCAAGATCACATCTAGTGTCTTCACCGCTTTATGGCGAAAAGCTCTTGATGAAAGGCGTGATTTCCCTCTTTCCTGCGGCAGTCCAATTTGAGCGGTCGTTGGGGAAGTTGCAAGTGGTTAGTGTCAACTACCCACGCAAGATCCTTGACATGGGGGTTCAGCGACTGTCCGAGGACGAAGATCGCAAGGTCCCTCCAGATCGGCACTTGTTATGGTTCCGCCAACTACTGCTTGACATCGAAAAGGTCAGTCGAGCTGTGTTTTGTATTATTATCAGGTGAAGTACACGTTTTTCTTTTTTTAGAGAATACAAATGTTATATGGAAATGCTTTCTCAACAAGGCACACTTCGCCATTGCCAGTTACATTGAAAATACTGATTAAAAAGCACTCGTGAATCAGCTTTTTATTAGAACTGTGTCGATAGCAATATTTTAAGTGGGAAGTGAATTTCAGTAATAAATTGAGTGTGAATTTAACTGAATAATTCTCTCTTATTTCTTGAATATTCTTCGCATACTTTGAAGTAAAATTTCAGAAAAGAAGAGGCAGAGGATCCCTAAGCATAATCTTACAAGAGAGGAATATGAAATAATTTCTTTTGGCACTAGATTACTTATATTTGCAGTTTTTGTAGCCTAATTTTATTATTACAAAATAACTTAGCTAAAAGCGATCTAGGGGTGTTGTGAAAAATGTGTCGTGCCTGCCAAGATAGCAAAAACTGTTGCTCAAATCACAAAAACTCGGCGTTTCAAACAATTGCCTTGAACAATTGCCTCAAAGTGTCTTGAAAAACGCACCCCTCGAGATAAAACTTCTGGCTTATGTTTCACTTATACGGTCAATACTGGAGTACGGTAACATTGTTTGGTCCTCTTACACATCTACCTGTATCTGCCGCGTAAAGTAGCACGATTAATCTACAACCGATACCGACGCACAAATTCACCTACTGAGTTATTGCGACGCGCAGGACTCACTCCTTTATCCAGTAGATAGAAGCTTAATCATCTAAAATTTATCTACTTGCTCTTGCACAATTCATTCAAGATTAAGGCATCAGACTACATCAATATAAGTCACCCTATGATCACCCGACACAAATACCCGCTCACTCTTGATGAATTCTATTGCAACAACACTTTTTTTATTTTTATTTTTTCTTCCTTATTGGTGTGTGGGTAGAATGCTCTGGATGCCTCGGCGGTGTTAGAAACATCTGTACAAAAAATTCTTAGAACTCGGCGAGCCGTTCATTGTAACAACGATCTAGATTTCGTACATTGTCAGATTGATTCCTGAATAAATTTCTGTTTGTTTGACGATGTAACTATTGTATGTAACATGATGCAACCTACGATACTATAAGTTAAGTGATTATATCTGTAACGCATGTATATTTCTGTGCTTAGCATGTATATTATCAGTTGATTATCTATGTCAAAAATGTATGTATAGATTCTACTGGCGTATGTGATCCCGTTTTCACCTTCATTTGCACTGTAGCATCTCAGTGCCTTTGTTAATTTTTTTGTACCCACCCTTGTAAGAACCCCATTTGGGGTTGACACTATACTGAAATAAATAAAGGAAAAAATTAAACCTCTGCAACAGCACAACCAGGGGCCATTTCAGCCTCATTGGAAAGACTGTTTCTCCTTGTTCAAATTTTTGCTTCAGCTAGGCCCTCCATTCAAAAACGAGCATACGAAAAAAGAAATCTTTGAAGGTCGTTTGAGGGTTCTGATTGTGTGCATCTGCCTTGTTGCTTAAGTACGTCTTGCTATTGGTTTGATGCGTCGCTTCGGGAGCGCGTTGCAAGGTCACGACTGCCAAGAATCGCGCTAATTAGTGGTGCATTTGTATTCGTTCTGTGTTCATGGGTTGACAATCACGGTGGTGAAACCGCTGCGCCATTGTGCACTAAACTTTTTTTCCTGCGCCCCTTGCTGCTCTGTAATCTTTTATCAGTGCCATACTGTGTCACGGCACTAGAATTTATCCACAAGGTGCAGCAGCCATCAAGCCCCATGCTTGAAAAGCGTGGCCGAAACACCCTGTTTCCTATTCTATCAAAACAGTTTCGATTTCATTATGGTTATGATCGCCTGAGCAGCAGCTGTGAGTTTGATATGGGACAGATAGCCACACAAGAGAGCTTGGGACATAGCTAGGATCTGGAAGAGAAGTACTGTAGTTTCCTGGCGTTGCTGTTTTTGCGAGGTGAATATACGGGCGAGCTGGCGGCCCTCTTCGGCTTGACAAGCAGCTTTGGAGACAGGTGGGCAGTCAGAAGCATTAGGTCAATAGGGAAGTAAAGTGTCGATAGTATGGGAAGGTGCGCATTCGTAAAGGAGAAAGAAAGGCGGATTGGCAAAGCGCTTGGCAAAGCGGCTGTTTCGGCATATTGTGTCAGATGGTCGGCAGCAACTATAATCCACTGATTGTCATCTGGTGTCATTGGAAGGGGGCCTAAGAGGCCAAGGCCGACGTGATAAAATAGCTTGGCAGGGCATGGGAGCGGCTGCAATCCGCCAATTGCACATAAAAAGGTGTTGATTTGCGCCGCTGGCAGTCAGGACAGCACTGCACAAATTTCCGCGCGAAATTGTGCATGCCGCGCCAGTAATAGTGATGGCGAAAGCACTAGTATGTCTCAAATACTCCTGCGTGGCCACATTGCGGATCATCGTGAAGAGAGGCCCATACTTGCAATCGCAAGCTGCGTGCAGTGACCAGTGGCCATCAGCAGCCATCGGCAGCATAGTTGCAGCGATGAAGCAGTTGATCGCGGATGAGGAACTGGAAAAATTGATGCCGGACGAAAAAATACAAAAAAGTGTTCATTCACCTACTGTAGATATGGCCACCGTTGAAGATTTAAACACGTACAGTCGAACCCCTTTGTAAGAGGCACTGATATAAGAGACAAATGGGTATAAGAAACAACATTGTGCTTTCAGTAAAATACGGGTAGATAAGAAAATGCATACGAGATACCCTGCTTATGAGTCACATCTTATATAAAAAACAAGTATTGCTGCACAGAGCATGCCTCTTATAAAAAAGGTTAAAAAGGTTAACTGTATTTCAGTACCGTCGGCCCAGCACTGGCAGCATGTTTACCTCACTTAAATCATAAAGTTAATGTCACTCCAAAATCAGTAGTAAATTTATTCATCTTAAGTGAGATAAAGACCATGGCGTAGTTTCAGCTGTATTAAGTACACCTAATAATAATGGGTCAGGGCCCGGCGACATTTCTATAAACTTGCTTGAAGAAAACATTCATATTCTGGGGCCAGTTCTTGGTCGTTTATTCAATAATTCAATTGTGCAGGCATAGTATTCGGCCACTCTGAAAATTGCTAAAGTCATTCCTCTTCATAAAGAAGGTGATCCAGCTGACCCTGCAAATTATAGACCAAACCCTGTGTTAAGCATAATTAATCATATTTTGAAAAGGTTATTTTCAAATAGAGAAAAATATTTTTGATAAGTACAATGTGCTCTGCCACGATAAACATAGCTTTAGGCCATGTTTCTCAACAGGAACTGCTGTTATCATGTTATCGCAAAAAATAAATATGGCCTTGGATCTCAACAAACTAGTAGCCGTCATTTTTCTAGATTTAAAAGAAGCCTTCAACACAGTGGATCATAGTATATACTGTTGGGCAAGCTTAAAAATAGTGGTTGTTGTGGTAGTGTTTGAGTTTTATCATGTTACATGGACGATCGATTTCAAGTCGTGACAACTAATAATATAACATCTTTAAGACAAGATATCATTACCGGGGTTCACAAGGCTCAGGTGCTCTTCTTCTTTCTTTATACAGTAGACTCTCAGTAAACGGAAATCTGTTAAACGAAACTACTGTTCAAACGGAACTATTGCCTCTGCAATGCTTGGTTTCAAGCTTGTATTCTGCACCCATGTTCACTTTTCAGTAAACAGAACTCCTGTTAAATGGAACATATTTTCCCGGTCCCTTCAGGTTTGGTTTACCGAGAGTATACAGTATATAAATGACCCACAACAAATAATTGACTGTGCAGAAATATTGATGTATGCAGATGGCACATGCATTATGGTAAGTGCTCATAATAATACAGCACTTAATCGGAAGTTAAATTTGGAGTTAAAGAGTACATGAGACTGATTTCTAGGTAACAAATTAACAATAAATACAAAGAAAACAAAACTTTGTTGATGCAAAAGAATATCATTGTTCCAATTGATGAACGTCGGCCTAAAATAAAATTCCTAAAGGTAAGAAAATTATCAGCGGACACACCTGACTTGGAAAAAAACTTGACAACACCAAAATCATCAATGCTACTTCCAACACATTTTACCGATTGTGGATGGGTGAGGGAATAATAAAGGTGTGTCACATCAATTGAAAATGCTTTTATAGCCCTGAGCTTCCATGAAGCCCAAAATACTATCGGAGCTCTTAATTAAAAACGGGTCCCAAACTTTAGGAAGACAAAGTTTGTCAAAAACAGGGTATTTGTATTGGTTCTTGCACCGCGCCTGTTTTGAGCAATCTTTTTCTGGCAGAACTTGTTAGAACTGTGGCATATCGTCTCGAAGGGACAACTGTTTAGAAAGTATTTAGGTATGTGGATGATTTTATTATATTTATTAACACCTCATGGGAAAATTTCGAAAGTGACACTACTAATGTGTAGAATGTGCTTCGCGATGGTCTTAAGTCTCTTGAAGTGACAGTGGAATGGCCTTGCGACGGACGAATAAGGTTTTTAGATTTAAGTATTCATTCCTTTGACAACCGGCTCTGCTGGTACTATGATCCTCGTGTTCAGAAAACTTTACTCCCATTTCATTCAAGTCATTCCAAACTAACCAAGAGAGAGGCATCGTGACGACATGCCTCAAGAACGCATTAAACAAATGTGTGCGCCTTGTAAAGCAGAGTTTCCATAAGTAGACTTTGCGTTTGCAAGAATCTAGCTATTCAAACCATGTTATAGTTTCCGTTGCAGAAAAAGAGTTGAAAAGAATTCATGGAAGTTCAAGGCAAGTTAATGTTGCAAGCTATAGACTTGAATAATTGTGTGTCATCACAAGTCCATCTCGTGGGGAACGGGTGTTGTTCACAAAAAGGAATACTCTCAAATTTGTGGAGTTCATATCGCTTGTTATTTGTGTTCTTCTGTTATCTTGTGGGAAAGAATGTGTTGGCCAAACCAGTAGGTGTGTGAATGAGTGATT